TCTTTTAAAATTACTCTGATTTTTTCTTCCTCTTTTATTCTAAAATATTCAATATGGAAGTTAGTCTTTCATAAAAATAAATGTACAAATTAAAAGAACTGTTTAAAATTATTCTGGTGGGGTACCTAGATTTTATTTTAAAAAAAGATAAAAGTAATGTATGCTTATTTTCTAATCAAAATTTATAAATTAGTAAAAGTGTTATCTGTTTTTTTTAGTTATTATATTCTGATAATTAATTTCATTAGTTTTAGTTATTAAGTTCTGTTTTTTTAAATGTAATTTCTTTCCCTGTAAATTAGTAATCACTTTTACCTCTGCAGATATAAATAATAAAGTACCTTTGACTTTTTGCCAGCTGAATTACTGCATCTGCATATTCTTAAGAGTCTATTTTTTAGTTGAAAATCATTTCTTTCTAAAGCAAGTTCAACAGAATCTGAGGACTGAAAGTTAACATAACCAAAACCTTTTCCCATGGAAGTTTTTGAATCTCTTACAAGTCTCACTGAAGAAATTGCACCCACAGTTTCAAATATTGTCCATAAATCTTCTTCTTCAGCATCTTAAATTATTATTTATTTAAGTTAATAATCAAAAATGCAAAAATAAGAAGTTACCAAATGGTATATTTCCAATAAAAAGTGCTTTATTTTCATCTGGTTTTTCTTCATTTTGAGCCATATTAATTCTTAAATGGTGGCTTTTATACTCGAAACCATTCATTTCTAATGCTTTACATGCTTCTTCTCTATTCTGAAATCTAAAAGGAGGCACTTTTAAGTAGACATTAAGTTTAGAAGTTATTTAGGTCTTAAGTTACCTTATAAAGCAATGTAAACTTTTTCTATCAGGGTGAAATCTTTTCTTTATAACTGCTAGTTTCTTTGAAACATTGGGATCATCAGGAGCTGCACATCTTAATCGAATACATTCTATATTACCAAATTTCCCAAACAATTTTTTTAGTTTTAATTTATTTGCTCCTACAGGGACATTTCCTACAAATATTGTTTTATTTTCTTGTTCTTCATCACGTTCTTTCTTCAGTGGCTTGTCAATCTGTTTGTGTTTTGGAAAAGTTCCTTTCTCAGGGCTTCTTTGAATAGACACTGGTCCATTCTTACTCTCTTCATAAGTAGTTAATTTATTTCTGTTCTTTGCTACTTCTTTTCGGCCTTTTATATTTGAAGATTTACTATTTATGCGGTTTTTATTGCTGTAATCTTCATATTCCACATCAGATTGAGACTTTTTGGATTGATCATTTGGTTGAATGATAACCTTCTCTACAAATTTTGGTTTGTTTGGAGTATTTTTTCCAGATATCAAATCAGCTATACTTCCCACTGAATAATTCATTATAAATTAATACAGAAAAAGATATGAAAGTAATATAACATGAAAATTAAATTATTTTTTAACTACTGTAGCCTCAAAAGTTTAGGTTAAAAACATAGATAGCTAAAAATGATTTTAAAAAACGTATCATAGATAAGAGAGGGAAACTGATCAAACGTCATGGAGAGGGCGCTTATTAATGAAACACTTATAAAAATCATAGAAAAAGTTTATCACCATTATTCAAAAGCAAAAAAAAATATTTTACGAAATATATCAACTGTATAATTAATTACAAATAGTGATTTAAATAAAGTTTTCTATTTTTATGAATTGTATCTAATAAAAACGAATAACTACTAACTTAAAATATTAGTAGAAAAGGCAGAACTAACAAACAATTTTTTCGGTTCTGACTGTACTATTTAAGTTAGCGTCGCGACGTTTACGGCGCCGAAATATAAATCGATATTCTGCTAACGTTTATTTATTTACGGTTTTCGAAAAGAAATTATTATGAAAAGGCAAAACGTACGAACATTATCTTTGGTTGTTTGCACTTTTACGTATTTGCTAATTGGTGCTGCAGTTTTTGATGCTTTAGAATCAGACGAAGAATTAAGAAGAGATGTAATGTTAAAGGGTAAGTATTTTTGCATAAATGTGCATAAATTGGGGTATTATTGTAACATAATTATTGTTACGTAGATGCCACAAACGCTTTGAAAAACAAATACAATATTAGCGAAGATGATTACCGAATGATAGAACTTGTTATAATTGAATACAAACCGCACAAAGCTGGGCCCCAATGGAAATTTGCTGGAGCTTTATATTTTGCAACAGTTGTACTAGCAGTAATCGGCTATGGTCATTCTACACCAGTGACCGCTGGAGGAAAAGCTTTCTGCATGGGATATGCCATGGTTTGCTGGATTTTGAATCTGTATATGTATATTTCCTTTTTAAATATTTTTTCTTTCACAATTAGGTGGGAATTCCCCTGGGTTTGGTTATGTTTCAAAGTATTGGTGAACGATTAAATAAAATCGCTTCTGTACTCATCAAACATTTGAAACGATTTCTACGTTGCAAATATGTAGAAGCAACCGAAATGAATTTGATGTTTGCTGCGGCACTTTTGTCATCAATTATAATAACAACTGGTGCAGCTGTATTTTCCAAATACGAGGGATGGACTTATTTCGATAGCTTTTACTACTGTTTTGTCACTATGACCACCATTGGATTCGGGGATTATGTGGCCCTTCAAGTACTAAATTATTGCTGTGAAAATTTAGGTTCCCGTGCTAACATTCTGGGTCTGTTTTAGAATGACAACGCTCTCCAGAACAAGCCAGGATACGTCGCTTTAAGTTTAGTGTTTATCCTCTTTGGATTGGCGGTTGTGGCCGCTAGCATTAATTTACTAGTGCTTCGATTTATGACAATGTAAGCGATATTCATTTTTTATTTATAAAAATGACTATTTGCTCATTTTGTTTTTTTTTTCTTTAGGAACGCAACCGAAGATATACGTCGAGACGAAACGGAGCTACAGTCTTCCTCTCACCAACTTTTGACTCTTGATGGAGAAATGATGAATGTCAATGGTAAAGTCTTAGCTGGTCAAGCTTTGATGGGTGATTATGATGTTGACCAAATGTCTGTATGTTCTTGTAACTGTTTAGGCTTAAACCATGCCGATAATCAAGAACTGCTTCTTGATATGAGTTACCATCCTTCACATACCATTCTCGCATCTAATACAAAAGTAAAAAGAGCGTCTGTGTGACATTCATTTAGCAGTTTTAGTACTGAAATAGACTGAAGCAAGTGACGAAAAAAGGTATGACTGTTTTGAAGTGTGAAGAGGCGTTATTTTGACCTAGTCATGGATGTATAAAAAAATATACTTATTACATGCTAGACGTGGACAAATTCTAATTGTCGTTGTTTATTATTTGTCGCAAATGTGCCAAAAGTGTAGCAGCAGTCCCATTAGATTTCGTAATAGTTTAGTATTTTTCAAAAAATAAGAGCATGGTATGCTAAATCTACTTCTTTAGGGGCCGTTTAAGTAATACTCTCCCCCTTTATAGAGCTTCGTTATTATTTGCTTCACCCCCTCTCTCAAAGATACGTAACACCCTTGTGACCATTTTTACCAAAAATTTTAGCGTAATGTTAAGTAACAACATATAATGTAATGTTTTACAAGACCCCCTCCTCTCTTAACCTTGTTAGGTAATACTTGTACAGCCCCTTAATAACATAATATATATTTTTATATTATTTTTAGTTAAATTAATATTGCAGTTTTATAATTAAACCTGTTGTCAAATATACTTACATTTGAATAAAATTTGTCTTGTACTTTTGTTTGTTCTTGTTCAAGAAATCACAATTTTTTACCGTTACTGTATCTATTTTAGGACTTTGTGCATTTCTATAGTAAATGTGACGGGCCACAAATGGAATTTGTGCTAACTTCACATCAATTAGTGTTTCCCGTTATTTTCACTTGCAGCAACTTCGTTGTGGCGTGGTATTTGTTTGGTGTGTGGTTGTCGCCATTGATAAGAAAATCTTCAATTTTCTTGTGTTAAACACTTTGATTACCTGAAATAAAAAATGGTGAGTTTCGTTGGAATACAAATTTTATTTTTATTAACCGAATATATTTAGAGTCGACGTAGTGCTAATACAACGAAAGTTTTCGTTGGTCGTTTACCCGCGGCTGCGACTACTGATGATTTACGGCGTCTTTTTGCCCCCTATGGTAAAATTGTAGAGTGCGATATCGCCAATAACTGCGGTTTCCTCCATTTAGAGGATAGAGAACTCGCAATTAAGGCAATACAAGAATTGGATAATACTTCTTTACTTGGCGCCAGAATATCGGTTGAAAAGGGTAGGGTTAAACCCCCAAGAAATCGGGGTCGTGACGGTGGGGGTCCCATGAGAGGTGGCAGAGATCGTGGCGGTCCTTATTCTCGTGACGGTTATGGAAGGGGACCACAAAGGAATGGGGGTGGTGGATATAATAGAGATTATCCACCATACGATGACAGGTATGGAGGAATGCCTTCAAGGGGTGGATATGGATCTGATTATAGGGGAGGTGGTGACGGTCGCCCACCTTTTGATGATCGCAGAGGTTACAACAGATCGTATGGAGGACCCCCACCTAATGGATATGGTATGTTACTAATACATATCTATCTTGAGGTAATCTTCTTGAAATCAACTGTTTATACTATAGGTGGTCCAGGCGGTTATGATGGCAACTATGATGATAGAGGACCAATGGGAGACAGGAGACCTCTTTTAGACCAACAAGGACCTAGAGGTGGAGGTGGTTATGACAGAGGATCTTCAAATGAAATGTTCAGTAGAAGAGATGCAAAGTCTAGGTAAGTTAATATATTATCAGTTTCTTAAATGCTAACAATAAAACAATCATAGTGGTCCATCGGGGGGCTATGGAGATCGAGGAGGATATGGTGGGCCTGGTGGAGGCTATGGTAATAACGGTGGTTATAATGCTCCTCCAGCTGCAGGCTATGGACAAGTTGCTCCAGGGCCAGCAGGTGGTTATGGAGGTGGTGGTTATGGCGGCGGTCCCGCACCAGTTGCTGGAGGTTATGGTGATAATAGATCACCAATGGGAGGTGGCTATGGAGAAGCTAAGCCAGTAGCTCCTACAGGACAAGTAGGATATGGAGGGCCGGCGGGTGGTTTTGGTGTAGCGTCACCAGGGGGCTACGGGGCCGGAGGAGGTTCAGCAGGCTATGGAGATGGTTATACAAGATCAGGCAATTATGAAACCGCTTATCCACTCCCCGCCCAAAGAAGGTAAGGTTAGTAGACAAATTCTTTTATCCATTTTTTATTAAAGGTAAATATGTTTTTCCATTTTTTTGAAGATTTTTCTTTTTTTTACATGTTTATAATTTTGGACGTTTTGAATGTAATTGTTTATTTAGTTTGAATAAACATATGAACTTATTCATCTAAATTTTTTCCCAGAAATTGAGCTTACAGTTGAAAATTTATATAAACCGTCTTTTCATAAAAAGTCTGCAATTTATGGTTATACAGAATTGTTTAATATGTAACTATTGAATCAACAAAGTTTCAAAAGAAAAATACTGGTGGCGTCCATGTGTCTGAAGTAAGGCGTTGGATAAGGGGGTGGTTCAAATTTAATAGAGCTATAGAAATAAGAAAATACTTGCGTCTAAATGTACCTATAGTGAAGCTACGACAAACACTGACGGTGTTGGATTTACATCAAAATAAAAATTTTATTGCGTTAAGGAATTCCACTTAATATTAAAGTGAATCCTTTGGTACCTCATATGTGTTGTTTAATCAGGTTGTAGAAACGGATTCTGGAATGTGTTGTACTGTATATGGTATAAGAATGCGCATTTCATTTCCTTGTAATATTAAGGGTTAAATGAACATTGAAGAATTTGATGCGTAACTTAAAATGAAGAAGAGTGTTAGAAATATACCGTCTATTTTAGAAAATTTAGTTCATTCAATAACGTAAGGTGCTCTACTAGGACATTTGGAACTATATAGATTCTAGAAGAACTAATCATGCTTAGTATACAGATTATGTGTAAATTTAATTTTAAATCTATCCAGATATTCGTTGCATCAAATTTCTTTTATAGGCCCTGAACTGTTTGGTATCATTAGTTCATGTCTAAAGGTATTTGTGACTGAGAAACTTCATGTTTGTTATAGGGTAAAAGGTAAATGTAAAAGGAATAGGGAAAGATTGAAGATCGTTTCACGTTGAATTTACATAAAGAAAAAGGTATTTTATTGTTTGAATTTGAACCATCCCCTAAACAGTTAATAAACCATTGCTCGTGTGTGTGTCGCGGTTGTCCAAATACTACACAATCCTTTTTTATTTGTAGTTACCCAACTACCGGCGGCGGCGGTCCCCCAAGCGGTCCAGGGCGCAGATATTAAACGGTGACGTACGCGCAAAAAAAATGAAATACTAGTGTACTCCAGGCGCCCTCTTCATTTCATTTCGTTTCGCAAGGCTTCTTGTAACATTGGTACAGTTGTCTTTTCCGTTTAATATCACTAAATACCTACAGCGTGTTTGTGCGCCTGAAAAATTCAATTTCTTTCTCTTCAAACTTGGCGCAAACTACCCATTTGGTGTGTTTTTCTTATTATTATTTTCATCGTTTTCTCCACGTACAGCGTAATTCACAAGTAGGTAAACAATACATATAACGCGTTGTCATTCTTCTTATTTTTATTTTTTTCTTGTGTTAAGTGTATATGACTATAATAGATTTTGTTCATTTTCCTGTAGAATTAATGAATAGCAACATTTTATCGTGTACCGACATTTAATCACAATAAAGAGGTACTTTCTACATTTGACTGATTTTTGAAATTAGTTTGTAAGTTGGATGCGTAAATTGCTTATTAAAAGCCTTTTGCTTTTCTCTATTTAAAGTTAACAAACTGATAATTGAGTTAAGAATTATAAAAGTTTCATGTTTTTAATAAATGTTTTGAAAACGTCCAACAAACAGTAAAATTGTTTTGACTTTTTCAAAAACAGCATAAGGTATAATGGTGAGCGATACTCTTCACTGTAAGGCAGATTCTTTATTTACTTATGCGAATTTATATTAAGTACTTTATTGTTTTTGGACCAGTAAATAGCGCCTTCTTATGTGTGTTTATTCTGTAATGTTAATGTTCTCGCGCAGCAAACTAGAAGAATTATTGCTTACTAAAATATAATAAGCTGTGATCGCAAGATTTTTGATTACAAAATGCTTATTGGATTGCAATGAAAGAAGACGTTGAAGGTTAGTTGCTTTAAAAAGCGCCCTAATTCCATTCCAAGATCGTCCTCGGTTTTTGCGATTAAAAATGAAGACAATGATGGGACTAGAACGTTGACGGATGATTGCTCTGTTATTAATTAGGGTAAGCGCCTTCACATTTTTTATCATAATTTAGTTTGTTAAGGTTCTGCAGTTGTTAAGTAAGAGGTAGGTGATTAAAAATAAATGCGGCAAATTTTTGGAATTTGAGTGCGTCTAAAACGAGGCGCAATGTTGCCTTTCTTGTGTACTGCGAAATGGCGCTTGAGAAAACTATATTTTGCGAACTCTGTTCAACGTGACTACGAATTATTGTCGCAAGTCCTCGTTCTTGTTTTTTGAGAAATCGTTAGGTGCGCAGCATAATATGTAATTGTATTATGTCACACATAAATCTAATTATTACCCTTTTTCCCTGAACGGCTATTTTTTTAAACTTTGTATATTAGTAATTAGTCATTAAAATTGTTGTTGGGATCTTTAAAAATGTTTTAAATTTTGTCATAGGAACCGATGATGAAGAATTGCTTCCTTCGGAGCGTAAAAATGCCCACGAATTTAGGGTAAGTTCTTTTTATACATCGTAATAAATTATAATTTTCAACCACTAAATCACATTAAATTTTGTATGTTAATTAATCATTTTTAAAGTAGAAATTAAAAAATAAGTAGCAACCGTTCTATTGTTCCAGGTTCATTTGTTCTCCTTGAATTCTCATCAGCTCTTTAAGAAGGGCTCGTTGAGCTTCGTCGGTCCTTTCCATCTCTAGTTGTTGAGCAAGACGTTGTCTCACGTTTTCACTACCAATTTCTTCGGCCTTCTCTATTGCTGCGTATATGGCTGTGCGGGCTTCATCTTCTAATAGACGGAGCTTAAATGAACAGTAAGTAATAAGTAATTTAATTTTTAATTAATGTGAATTATAGGAAGTCATCTGCTAATACACGTATAAGATTTTTATCTTGGCATGTACCAATTTAGCTCTCATATCTGCTTCTCTTTCTAACATTATTAGATCGACCTGGTTTTCATCTACAATTCCGCTGCAGAACCTGTTGTAGCGGTATTTCATCAGCCAGTGTGCTAAATACTGAACGGGATCTCTCGGTTGCCTGATCATGATTTCCGTTAAAGCCATGGTTAGGGGCTTGCCGAAAATCTCCTTCAAGTAATAAACTTCTTCTGTGGTTTTTGGGATGTCAGAAATTTCTGAAAAAGTATTTAAATAATATTACCTATTTTTACTGTAAATGAGACTTTGGTTGTTAAGTGGACTTTTTTTCTATACTAAACTTGCTTACCTTCCTCTGAGCTTATTTGTTCACTTATTTCTTCGCATATTTCTTCGTATTCTTCGATTTCAATTGTTTCTTTTGATTTTAAAGAAATTGTCGATCTTTCTGATTCAGGTTTTAATTCATCCTCTTTTGTCGGAATAGTAGATTTTTTTTCTAATGTTTTTTAAAAAAAGAATATACATTTTTTACTTTTAAAAGATTACGAATTTTTCCCGTTAACTGGGGTATACCTCCGCATATTTCATAATAATCGAAATCGTCGATATTTCTGCCTAATAACACCTCCGTTTTATCCATGTTGAGAATTTTGTTCAACCAACACATTTTCCGTTCCATCTCGTTGAAATCCTTTATGCACGAATCCAGTGTTTTCTGGAGCGCCATCGTGTCTTTCATCACTTGAAATATTGCTGACAATTCTTGGATTTTTTCATCTTTTTCGGGTATCGGTTCCAAATACTTGTCTCTATATTTCTAATTTTTAAGATTGTTTATTTATGAAAAGAAAGATTGGTATCGATGTACATACTCGCGTTAAGTTATATTTCTGTTTTTGCATTTATTTAATTATTATATTTGTATATAATTATAATTATGCACCTATTTATTTAAACAATGTTATCGACTATGTATTTAAGTAATACCACATTGCAGTGCTTCAAAAAGTTTAAGTAACATTGCAATTGTAGGATTTAGTTAAAATTTCAATTACTTTTCTTAAAATGTGCATGCTGGTTAAGATTGACGCGTAATTAGTTTTCTTGGTGATTATTTTTTTTGCTAGGGCTTCAATGGCACAAGTTGCCGTTTCTGGTGCTCTCCACGCTCGGCCTATTTTTCTTTCTATTGTTTTAATTTCTCTCTCAAATTTTATATGCATGTCCACAACTTGTATAGTTAAGGTTATAACCAATTCTTTAACATCTTCTTCTACGACTTGTGTAGTTTCATCTTCAGCAGGCTGATCTTGTAAATATTTATTGATAAAAAGTTCTCTTAACGAATCGTTTTCCGTGCATTTCTTGACTTTCAGTTTGCTATATTTCGATGGGCTTTGCTGTTGCCGGCTCTTATATATGTGTAAAAGAAATTAATTTACCACTATTATAATTTCCGTTTAATATTTAGCTTCAAATAACAAAGAAAAACTTACCATTTTTGTAACAGTTGACTGATATTCGATTATGTAATTTAACTTTCAAAATGACATAAAGAATATTTTTATTTACTTCACTTCTTTGCTTTATTTTTTCGAATTTCGTTTTTTTTTATTGCCCTTTGAATTAATTATCTATTAATTATTATATTGTGCACCTCTGATTTAGTTTTTTAATGCATTTTTATATATTTTTATATCAGCCTGTTACATATTACATCAGTCTACATCTATTCCTTGCTTTTGGTTTACCTTATTTAAGAAGTGCCATGTTTTTTTACCTGCGTTTTTTAACGTGATTTTGGGTACCTATCACATTTAAAATAGGGTTTTTATTATTATTGTCGCTGTGTACATCTAATATTAAAGTAATATTTTCTGTAACAAACTTATGAATTAAAAAAACTTTATTAAAAAAACTTAAAATAAAATGAATCCTGCACCACACGTTTGATAATTTGATTACTCTACAAAAGTGATTGGCCAGCTGGAGGTCCGTTATAAACACCAAGAACATCTCTAGCCTCGTCGTACAATCCCTCCCCTTCCTCTTCAAGCATGGCCGTTTCCATTGCGATTCTGCGCAGTTCTGCTTCTATCTGATTTTGAATAGCTCTCTCTTCTGCCCTGACTATTGCGTCTAATATGCAAGCCCTTGCCTCTTCTTCAAACATTTTTGTCTAAACAGTGATTTATTAGATATTCATAAAGTTAGTAGACATAATGATTGTTTTTTACCAATTTTTCTTTCATTAACCTCTCCCTTTCCATTATTAATTCCTCGAGTTCTTTTCGTTGAATCACATCATTTTCTTCGTTTAAGCGATACTTGAAAAGCCAATTTCCTAAGTAATGTATAGGATCACTCGGTTGTTTTGCAGTTATTTCAGCTATAGCCATTATCAGTGGCCGTCCCACTGTTTGTTTTAAATAGTGTACGTCTTCAGAAGTTAATCCCGCTAATACGGACTCTACAATAGTTTTTCAATTTCATTTCATTTCGGGAAAAATTTCGTATTTTTATTACCTCTGGAACTGTGACTGCTCTCTGAGGATGCTTTTAAAGACGTAGTTGATTCTGTTTTAATGCTGGACTCTATCGGGCAAATGTCTTCGCTCTTTTGCTCCTTTTCTTCTTCAGCTAGAAGTTCTTTCAACATTGCTTCGAGGTCGATCCCTTCAAACATTGCCGCTACTTCCGCCAAAGTTAAGAATCGTCCAGATAGAGTTTGAATTCTTCCGGAAGGAGTCAAGCGTAATCCTCTAAGTTGTAATAGTGCTACCAAAAATAATAAATTTTGTAACTGAATTTTAAAAATATGTTTTTTTAGAATTAATTTTAATTAAGCTTTTAACTAGGATTTTTAAAAATTAAATAGTGTATTGGATAAATTAATAATGTAAATCTTTTTGTACTTTGAATGAGATATAAATATGATAATTAATTTGCTTGCATATAAGTAATTCTAGATACTCTATTAATTATAAGTTTTGCTTGTTTAATTTAAATAAATAAATACACTAAAAATGTAGTTAAAACCAATAAAATAACTTGTTTTTGAAAAAAAAAATTGTTTGCTTTATGATATTATCTAGTTATAATGTTCACGTGTGTAAATATGAATATAATAATTATTATTTGTTTTCGATACCCCGAATCTTTTCCTCGAGGGTCATTTCATCCCATTTTTTCCCCATCAGTAATTCTGCTTGCAACATCATGTCGATGCTCAGTGTTTCATATTCGATTTCCGCTGTTAATTCCCGAAGTAAATCTCTCCTATCCATTTGAATTTGATCCAAATCTAATGTGACTCCTTCCATATAATCATCTCGTTGTCGCAATAGTTCCTAAAGTAAAATTGTATATAAAAACTCGAAAATATTGACGATGAAGTTTACCTTTCTTTCTTCTTCAAGTTGCCGAAGTACTGCTTCACGTTCTTTGCGTTGATCTTCGCTTAACTCCGCCAGTATAATCCCTTTCTCTTCTAGTATACGTTTAGCAATATCGCGAAGTCGTTTATCCAAATTTTCGATAATTTTAAGGCTTTCCCTTATTGATTTTTTCTTTTCGCTCATTGTGATTATGAGTTCTTTTAAACTTTTTCTTAATTTTTCTATTTCCCTGTGATTACATTAATGAGATAGTTATTAGATAATACACGAAGCGACTTCCCGTATTCTTTTCAAATATTCCCAATTTATTAAGAAAAAAAAACTTGACAAGAAACCTTCAAACGATTAACATAATAATTTTTTCATAGCTAGTTAAAATTAAAAATGTACTGATGGAGTAAGTATATTAAAAATTCAAGTGTAATGTAGTAGGCTAGTTAAGCCACACTCGGCAATGGCTAAATGTATTTCACTTTCAGAGGTCGCGTTCGTGTGTATAACGGATAACGTTCAAATTGTTTAAATGTGAAATTAAGTTTTAAAAAGCATTAAATCTGCATAATTTAACAATATTAACATGAATGAAGAAATACTCCCAACAAAGCAAGATGACATGGCAGATTCTGCTGATAGTCATCCACCGAATAACGATTCTCCAGCTGAACCCCCCTGTGATAATGAAATGGATGTGGAAATTGCAGAAGCTAGCGAAAATGAAAGTGATGATTTAAGCTACGAAGATAGTTCGGATAGTCTTTCACCAAATGCTGCTAATGCAGTTGATGTCCACAAGGATAACACATTGATATGCAATAACCGTAGTATTGTAAGAAGGTTGGTAGAATTATTGAATATCGTGGCTAGAGGTGGATCTCCGCTACGTTTTTTTGTTAAGTCAGTTTTCATTTCTTCATTTGAAAACCCCTCTGTGGAAACAATGGCATTAAAAGATATTTTTGAAACAAGTTTGAGTTATACTGTACGATCAATGGCACATTGGGAAACCATGACTCCTTTTAACCAATTAAACAGAAGAACAATTATCGCTTTTGCAGAATGCATGAGGGATAGGGTGCTAAATGAAATAAAGAAGGAAGTAGCAAATGCATATTTCTTTTCTTGGCATATAAATGGTGTTGTGAAGTTAGATGGTGATTGCTTTTATTATCCTATTGCAATTCGTTTTGTAAATGAGCAAGGGAAAGAAAAAGAGCATTTGATTGGTCTGTTTAACACTTATTTATACAAAACTCCCATTGATCTCAGTAAATTATTGTTTGGTTTGTTTGAAAAGTTAAATATGGAAGATAAAGTAATTGCACAATGCTATGATGGGGCCCTATTAGATGTTCCAGAAATGAATGAGCTTAAAGACATTGTACAAACAAGACTTCCAAAAGCTATTTTGACTCACTCTGCTTCATTCAGTTTGAATTTACTTGCACAAAAGGCATATGATAATTACACCTTTATGTTCTTTGGGATGCTCAAAGAACTTTCACAGTATTTTCATGAGCATCAAGAAAGTCTAAAGATTCTTACTCAGATTCTGGGCAAAGTTATGCCCACAAGTTCTAAGGCTGACTGGATACCATCATCAGAAGTATTTGGAATGATTATAACAGAGAGAGAAAAAATTGTCCAAACACTTGTGAAGATTATTGAAGAACGGGACAGTATCAATTTTCAAGTGTGCCTTCTTAAACATAACTTAGAAGATTTTTCATATATATTTTTACTGTATGTTTTTAACGATATCTTCTTGAAAATGGAAAAAGTTGAGAAGAAACTCCAAGAAAATCCCTTTGACATAGAAAACTGCATAAAAGAAATTTCCTTATGTATTACTGATCTTATTGGAATGAAGGCAGATGATATAATTAATCACTATGTAAATTTAGCCAAAGAGCAAAGCACAGATGACTGTGGGGGAAGTTGCAATAAAAGAGAAAACTTTGAGGATTCAGAATCAAAACCTAAACATGTAATTGTTTATGAAACTCTCTTAGAATCCATTGTGTTGCATCTAGAGGTGAGATTAGCGAGCTATAGAAACACCGAATTTCTGGAACTGATTAATTTTAAAAATACAGACATAACATCAAAAACTAATGCATTTAAGTGTTTATCAAACACATATGGTAAATTTTTCGATCTGGACAAGTTAAAAGAAGAACTGACGATGATTTATTTTAAAGAGATGTTTCACGGTTTAAGCTATACCAGTCTTTTGGAGCTTATTGTGGAAAACGAATGGCACACATCTTTGCCGCAAACATATAAATTTCTTTGCCTTATTGGATCGTTGCCTTCTGTTAATATTCCTACTTTAAACACTCTGGAGAGGATTAAGGATTATGTGGAAAGTACAAAGCTTCAAGAACATTTTGACGCTTTGCCGTTGTTAGAAGTTGAGAGGAAGACGTTGAAGAAACTTCAAAAAGCATCAACGTGGACTGACGACATAATCCAAAGTTATGCCGAAAGACCAGATTGCTGCGTTAAATTACTATACAATGATTCTGAGAAACATTAATCAGAAAAGAAATCATTTCATGTACCATTTATGTATTCGTTCGTTTTGTTGTTTCTTTTGTAGTTGTAGCAATATCTTAATATTTCCTAAGAGTTTAGAAGAAAGTTTTTTTTATAGTTCTAACATTCCTTGTTCCTGAGAAAATATGTATTTTTGTTAATGTTACATAAATTGAAGTTTTTTAAATAAAATAAGTAAATTAATAGTTTTCTTTGTATTCAAATTTGAATTTATCGGAAAACATTTTACCGCTCCATGATTTGAGGATGTCCTTTGAAACGTTAAGATACAAGTTGTGAGTGTGTGATTCCTTATAATATTAAAGCTCTACAATTATACTTTCATAAAATAAAATGAATATTTTTCAATATTAACGTTCGAAAATACAAAAAATAAGAATTTTACACCTTTCAACGTTTCGAAAAACAAAAGAAGCAGTTGCATTGTAGTTTTCTTGCAATTCTTTTAAAAAATGCACCTTAAATTTACAACTATATGTATAAAAAAGGAACTAATGGCTAGAAGTATATCGCGAAAAAGTTTTATGCAGAGTTGTTTACCTTTCTATTTGTTGTATAGATTTAATCTCTTTATCATAGTCAACTTTATGACTTTTAATTGCTTTCTGTTCTTTATCAATTGCCTGAACAACTTTAGTATATTGGCTTTCGATATCATTTTGCCGTTGAATTAGATCCTCTACCTCGTCGGCACCAAGTTCCGCCTTTTTGTTTTCTAATTCTGAAAGTGCTTTCTCTTTTATTTTTTGAAGATCTTTTACTATAAGATCTACTTCTTGAACTTTTAAACTAAGTGCGCTGATAACAGAATATTGTTTTTCTAATGATGCGCCTCCAAACATTTCCAATTAAAAGCTTGTTATAAATAATAAATATTCGCTTCAATATAAATATATAAATTAAATTGTCAAGTGACACCAATAATTATTTTAATTGAATTGGCCTACGTAGATATTTTTAAATGAGTTGCGGATTATTTGATTATTCCTCACACTTAAAATAATTGTTACTGCTTCTGTGTTATAGACACAAGGAAGCTAAGGCGTTGTTATATTATACACTATACGTCAAAATCTGTGTAAATACTTTTCTAACCCATTCTAACCTGAGATTATTGTAAGCTATTGTTTTGGTTATATGTTTTGTGAACGTTATCTTATATTTTTTAAAAAAGTATTTGTTTAGTGCTGTAAAAATATTAACAGATAATGCCTAAAGATAATAGGTATTATTTATTATCCTCCCAAGTTTTGTTTTCGTATTAACAATATGCTTGTAGGGATAAAAGTTTGAGTCGAGAGAGATCAAGTTCTTTACATAAATTTAAAAAATCTCATAGTAGAGATCGTTCTCATACAAAAAAGAAATTACAAAGAAAAAAGCCTCGCTCATCTTCTCGCAAACGGAAGCACAGAAGAAAATCTAGCCCAAGTTCTGATGATTCGTCAAGTTCTTCTGACAAAAAACCTTCCACCTCATCTAAAAAGTGTGATTATGATAGTGATTCAAGTACAAGCTCAGAAAAATCTTCGTCGTCTGCTAGCTCAGATAAATCCTTAAAACTCCTTGAAAAACTTAAAGCTGAAAGATTAAAATCTTTGGAAGAACGTCACAGACAGAAGGAACTACTAAAGCTTAAGGAAACACCTGAGGAGAAAAGGTACAATAAATATACATCTTTGGTAATTTAATCATTCATTTTTAACCCGATATATAGAATAAGAAGATTGTTAAAAAAGGAAGCCAAAGAGAGAAGGAGGAAAGAACGTATGGGTTGGGATAATGAATATTTGCATTACACTAATGCAGATAATCCTTTTGGTGATGCTAATTTGTTAAGTACTTTTGTGTGGTCTAAAAAGTTATCAAAGGAAGGTTTGAAAGGCGTCAGTCATGAAGAATTGGAAGCCATAAATAGACAAAAACAAGAGGAAAATAAAAGGGAACTTGAGAAAGTAAGTTGAATTTCTAATTAATAAAGTTATTACCATTTAAAATTTTAAACAGGTTAAAAAGAGAAGATTAGAAAGAGAATTGGAAAAACAGAGGAGAGAAGAAGAGATGCAAATGTTGCAAAGAAGCAAAGAGGCAGCTCAGTTTGAAGAGTGGCAGAGACAGGAGGACAAATTTCATTTGGAACAAGCTAGGCTGAGATCCCACATTAGAATTCAGGATGGTAGAGGTTAGTGTTAACTATGTTGTTAATTAAATAATAAACTATGTATATTTCATTTTGAATGATTTTTTTAGCCAAACCCATTGATCTCTTAGCAAAGTATATAAGTGCTGAGGAGGAGGTAGATGCTGTGGAAATGCATGAACCCTATACCTACTTAAATGGTTTACAAATGAATGACTTGGAAGACTTAATTGAAGATATAAAAGTCTATAAAGAAATGGAGCATGAAAAAAATATGGACTACTGGAATGATATAATGGTAATAGTTGAGGATGAATTGCAGAAATTAAGGAAACTTGAACAGCAAGATGACTTTAATATGGGTTTGAATAGGAGGGAAGGTATACATCAAGCTGTTGCCAAAGATGTTACTGAAGTCTTTAAAGGAAAAACTGCAGTACAGCTGCAGGCATTACAAAAACAAATTGAGAAGAAGATAAGTGGTAAAACTGACGGTATTGATGTTGGGTATTGGGAATCTTTACTTTCCCAATTAAAAGGTACTACAAGTAACAATATTTATTAAGGCAAGTAATAATTACCTATAAATGTTTCTCTTTTAGCGCACATGGCCAGGGCTCGACTAAGGGATCGTCATCAGGACAACTTGAAGAGAAAATTAGAAATGTTGAAAGCTGAACAGGCGGTCGCTGTAATTAGTACAGAAACGATCCGTGAAGTCAAACGAGAACCAGGACCAAGTGATGAAAACTCTCGAGGTTCTACAGAATACGATAGCGAAGGAAAGGATATGTATGTATAAAGTTTAGAAAGTTGAGCCACTTGTTTAAATACTTATTTACTTAGTACGAAATTAACTAATTGAATATCTTTTCATTTTTAGTAGATCTGAAGATCATGCTCAAACTCTTCTTGATGAATGTTTTGCCAGGTACGATGCAGGCGGTTATAGTCCCAAACTAGTTACTGCTGATGAACTGGAACCAGGAACTATCGTGGTCGCAGAAGATGATGATTGGAAGCGTTTGGAATTTGCCAGGATTCAGGTACTCAATTCTGGAAAGAAAGTTGAGGTAACCATAAACTTAATATGTATATTTAACAATTTCAGAATGAGTTTTACTATACAAACTCTCATATTTTTAACATTCAAATTTTTATAATTTACCTTTATTGTTTCTTGTAGAATGTTCTTACTAAAGAAGAATTATTGCTTCAAAAAGAGGCAAGAAAAGGTATGGGTGACGACGAAGCTCAGTTTTCTGTTGAGGCTGCATTGGATAATCAAATCTACTTGTGGTCTGATAAATACAGGCCTCGAAAGCCGAGGTATTTCAATAGGGTACATACCGGTTTTGAATGGAATAAGTATAACCAGACGCATTATGATATGGATAATCCACCTCCAAAAATTGTTCAGGGATATAAGTTCAACATATTTTACCCAGATTTGATTGATAAGAATAGTACTCCAGAATATTTTCTTGTAAGTAACAGAACTAATCCATAATTTTTTTTCGATAAGGAACTTTTACAATTTGAAACTTTCCTCTCTGATTTATTTATTTTACAGACTCCTTGCCCGGATAATAAGGAATTTGCTATTTTACGATTTCGTGCTGGTCCGCCTTATGAAGATATCGCTTTCAAAATTGTCAATAGAGAATGGGAATATTCTTATAAAAGAGGTTTTAGATGTCAGTTTCATAATAATATATTCCAACTGTGGTTCCACTTCAAACGGTATAGGTACAGGAGATAAAAATATGAGCTCATATTATATGTTGTAAAATATATTTGTAAAATATTTTTTAAACTTTGTAATTATAAGATCTACGTAATAAACAAAAATCACGATGTGCTAAAATATTCTATTTTTTACTATCATGTTCAGTTAATATTATTTAATTTTTAATTGTTTTTAAAATGTTTACTTTAATAACAACAATGTTATATTATTTTCGTATTATATCGATTACTTAGTAAGTCTCAATTGATACTGTCTTGCTGGTTTATATCTGTTTATTTTTTAATTATAGAAGTATTTAACTACTAAATTAAAGTTATAATAAATTCTTTCTTTATTGAGATGTTCTTTTCATTGTAATGTATATATGTATAAATAAAACAGTTTTGCTTCAATTTTTTTAATTTATTTTCTGGATATACTTTACTACCAATTAACGTAATGTCCTCATACAATTTTAATCAATTATCAGCGATAGCGTTTGGCCCCTCCTTTTTTGTTAGTTAAATTGGTTAATAAGAAATTACTGTGGTATTATGCGCAAGTCGTATTTACGGTCAGTCCTTTTATCATGTAGACAAATTATCATTCTGTACTTTCTGTTATTAGCAACTACGACGATGAGAATACAATGTGTATTTTATTTATTTTCATTGCTGCTTACGCAGCAGAGTGATTGTTTTTTTCGTTCTTACTATTTCTCGTCTACAGGACCGCATGTTCGCTCCACTATCGGGGAAATTTGGCCTAAACCCCAGAAGCAAACTACTACCAGTAATTTTTTCTTTGTAGACAACAAAACTTTTAAATTCCATGTAAGTCTCAATGTAGAATTTTCAAATTATAATTGAAATAAAAGTTTTGTTACGCATCAAGGGTATTCCCTTCCGAGCGTGAATTACCACTCGAGCCGAAGGTGAGAGTGAAAATAACGCGAAGGATGGTGAAATTGTATCCTAATAAGGGGTAACAAACGCGATTTATTACTCGAGAGGGAATGTTTTGCTTTTGTTTTGCCTAAAATCAGGGAAGAAATACTGTACTTTCGGTAGGGGTATGATAAGAAATTATATTTAAAATCAATCGTAATAGAATTATTGATAAGAATTGGTATCAAAATGCAACAAAATTTGCAATTAACACAATGGCGAAAACTTTAATGTTTGCGTTGGAAAACCTTGATAAGGTTAATTCATACTTATCAAATATTATTTTACAAATTATCTGTTTATATTAGAGGTCTCGTACAAAATTTGTAGATAAATGTAAATGTTTATAGCGACCTCTTTCCTCCAATAATTTGTTTTTAAACCCATGCTAGCTGAAAACGTCACTATATGTATTCAAACGAAACTAACTTATAATTATAATTCTTAGCATGTTCTTTAGTTTTATTCTAGATAATTATTACATTACTAAAATTACGTTTAATAATCGCATCTATTTTTTGCCAATTTATTCCCTTAAAAATACGATAACAATGTAACAGGGTTCAAAAACCTTTCAAGTACCTATTTATTTGGATTTTCCTTCATAATTTGTTTTTGATAAGATAAACTAAATATTCAGGCAATTTCCTAGTCCGTTTCTAATCGAAAAAATTATTCAACACTACAGGAAATTACAATGTTTAAATATAAATTTTCATTTTGATTAGGTTTTCTTGTGTTTCTAAACTAATAAATGGAAAAACTAACTCCATATAGCTAACTAAGCCAGAACGATATTTTAAAAATATGTTTTGGTTCACGAAGGTATTTTATTTTCAAATTTTATAGGTTTTGAGAGAAGATTGTCGTCTGGTGCAAGATGCTTTAGAAAGGTATTACAAGATAATTTTGAGTGCAGGGAAACTGAAAAGAACGTTAAATGTGATAGAAAGTTCGTCGAGCAATAAAAAATTTATGGGAATAATAAATGGGCTAGATATTCTTCTTAAGAACAAATGCGAAACACTACCATCTATTGATATGGACGAAAATTGTAAGTAGATCTAAAAAAAGGACAATTAAAAATTCGAAACAGAATTAACATATATCTGTTTGGAAAATTTGTTCTATCAGGATTGTAGGCAGTTCTGTAAAATTATTTATGTTAAATTTCATATTTTTCCTCCCTTCTATGTTGGAAAGCAATACATTTAGTAAGAATAAAATCATTTAGAGTAATTAAAGTNTTAGCAAATGTTACTTACGTCCACAGGTAAAATTTCACCCTCGTCGTCGACGCACTTGAAAAATTTTCCTCCAAAAAATTGGACGCCCATGATGGAAAAAATCAACCAAAAAACTAAACACACCAAAAGCACATTGAATATGCTAGGAATGGCATACATCAATGCGTTTACAACGATTCTCATTCCCTGCCACCGGCTTATTGCCCTAAGTGGCCTCAAAGCCCTTAAAGTCCTCAAGGAACGAAGGACTCTTAAATTTTCATTTTCTTCTATTAACAAGCTAAACACCGAAACCTTTAACAAATAATATTTTTCACTCTTATTTAATTGTATTATCGATTAATATCTTGAGCTAATTGAGTTTATTTTACCATTAACTTGCAGAAAATTTGTTTTAAATGAACTAGTCGATATCAATTTGAACATTAGTACATACTTATAAGCAATTGTTATAATGGTGGAAACTTACGAAAACAATTAAAAAGTCCAACAGTGTCCAAAAACTCGTAAAATATTTATGGAAACCGTGAGCTAACCATTTTAGAAGCATCTCAATTACAAATATCACACAGAATGCTAAATTGGTCCAGTATAAAATCGTTTTAAGACGAGGATTATCGTTTAAATAAATGTCCTCAAAGCAGAGTGTGATACTTGAGGCGAAAATTAAAACCAAAACCACCCACTCGAACACGGGGGTGTCAACTATTGACAAAACGTACGTTCTTACTTTCATTAATTTCTTGTATGCCCTACTATCAGTGCATTTTTCACATAAAATACATCTGAAAAGAAAAGAATGACGTATATTATGAGTAATACAATTACTGAATATATTTAAAAAAATGAATGCGGTCAATGAATTAATTATTTGTAAACGTTTAGGAACATTTCCAAGTCGTCTTCGACAATACCAATTTCTTCCTCTTGATGAGCTTGGTTGAAGTTTTCTAATATAATAAACCTTTCAAGTACCTATTTATTTGGATTTTCCTTCATAATTTGTTTTTGATAAGATAAACTAAATATTCAGGCAATTTCCTAGTCCGTTTCTAATCGAAAAAATTATTCAACACTACAGGAAATTACAATGTTTAAATATAAATTTTCATTTTGATTAGGTTTTCTTGTGTTTCTAAACTAATAAATGGAAAAACTAACTCCATATAGCTAACTAAGCCAGAACGATATTTTAAAAATATGTTTTGGTTCACGAAGGTATTTTATTTTCAAATTTTATAGGTTTTGAGAGAAGATTGTCGTCTGGTGCAAGATGCTTTAGAAAGGTATTACAAGATAATTTTGAGTGCAGGGAAACTGAAAAGAACGTTAAATGTGATAGAAAGTTCGTCGAGCAATAAAAAATTTATGGGAATAATAAATGGGCTAGATATTCTTCTTAAGAACAAATGCGAAACACTACCATCTATTGATATGGACGAAAATTGTAAGTAGATCTAAAAAAAGGACAATTAAAAATTCGAAACAGAATTAACATATATCTGTTTGGAAAATTTGTTCTATCAGGATTGTAGGCAGTTCTGTAAAATTATTTATGTTAAATTTCATATTTTTCCTCCCTTCTATGTTGGAAAGCAATACATTTAGTAAGAATAAAATCATTTAGAGTAATTAAAGTCAAAAACTTTTATCTGTTAAATAAACGACCAAAAAAAAGTAATGGAGGTAATTCAGCCTCTTCAATTGCGTATCTGACTGTCTCTATAGATTTCGTTTAGCTACTGCAATGTTTAATAATGAATATTCCTATCTATAAGTTATCATATCTTTGTTAAAGACGAATTATCAGTTAGTGGTAGCAAGAGTAACACCTTAGCGCTTTTAACTTCCGATTCAGTATGGGGAATCTTGCGAGGTTTGGAGTCATTTTCCCAACTTCTGTACGCTTCGGTTAAAGGAAACATGGTAAAATTATAGTTCAATATTTTATGCATAAAGTTGTATTTATTAGTATGCAAAAAAGGATCAACTTTAAATTTTGTTTATTAAATCTAAGGACGTGAAACTAAAAACAAAACCATTAATTAAGCTGTTTCTCAAAAATAACATTTTTATTGATAAAGCTCAGAATATTTTGCTATTTCGTATTTTTGTTCAATAAGAATGTGTATCTTTCGAGATAAAAATTAAAAACAATATTTTAGATATTCATAAACGAAACATACATCGAAGACTACCCCCGATATACGCATAGGGGTTTACTTATAGATACATCTCGACATTATCTTCCTCTAAAAACTATAAAACTAATACTTGAAGGAATGGAATATAATAAATTGAATGTGCTTCACTGGCATATTACAGACGACGAAAGTTTTCCATACCAAAGTCGAAAATTTCCTGAATTGAGGTATTATACGGTACTCAATTGGTTTTTAAAATTAATTACAGTGTTAATATTTTAGCGATAAAGGCGCTTACCATCCAGAAATGTTTATATATACCCAAAATGATATCCTAAAGATAATAAGATATGCAACTCAAAGAGGTATAAGAGTTATACCAGAATTCGATACTCCAGGTAATTGTTTGATTATTTCTCTATTAATAATTTTCCAAAATATAACATTTTTATTGCAAAATTGCAATTAGGAAAACATTTGCCAGGTAATATTTTGAAAACAGTACATACGGATATACAAATTTTTATTTACAAATTATTAACCAATACTTTAAAAGTGCGCGCATGCTTTCTAAGGGGTACTTTTTACGTATATAAAACATTAAAACTATAATACCAATTTTTGAACATTTCCCAAGTAAAAGAACATCTTATTAGACAAACTCCAACGTTTCACTCTATAGTGGTGGAATTTATCAAGGAAATTGTCGAGTTAACAACCAGCAAATAATATCAACATTTTCTTAAACCTAGTTTTAGTTATGCACCCTAACTTATTCTGCAAAACTTAAGTTACTTCCTTAAACGTTGCAGTTTGTCTAATAAAGTGTTCTATCACTTGAGAAAAGTCCATATATTGATGTAATCTATCTACAATCTGTTCAGGGAAATTAATATTTAAAATTACAAGATATTGAACATTTTTATAATCTGTAATTTCTTTTATACAACGTCCCAGTTCTCAAACATCATTTATTCAAATTTCGTATTGTATTGTAGATAATTACAAGTATTATAAAACTTATTTAATTTTTTATAGCACTTGCTGTAATGGCATCAAATATTACCAAACGGTGCTTTCAACTGAAATAACGAGAACAAAAAAATCATAACAATTAATAAGAAATCATAAATATTAGGTACCTGGCACAAACATTGCGATTACTCTAATTATAAGTGTAATAATTAACAAGAAAATGTTGTATTGTTTACCTACATTGTATAATCAGCAATAACACAAAATAGTGAAATTTCAATACGATTTTCCAAACATAAAGCGTGTTAATTTTGGTTAATTATAACACATAAACAAAAAAAATATATAGTACATATACATTACCTATACACAATGCAATATCTTTGGCCTTCACCTTTCTATCTAAAATGTGGTCACATTTTCGCGGAGTAGGGGATAATGTAATTAAAACGATAAACTAATTAGTCTCAGGAATAAAAAATGTCCGATATTTGAAAAATTAATTGCTATTTGTAAACCATTATTATAAATTTAAATTTCAATGTAAAGAAAACTCAAATTTTACGATTGCGATGTCGTTTACACAATAAGTACCCTTAATAATGTGCTAAGTACTCGTCAAAATCTAAATAGAAAATGTAATCTATTCCAAGATTTTAGGGCACACAAGATCTTGGGGAGAAGGAAGGCCGGAATTGTTAACTGTATGTGACAGCTCACGGGATGGCACCAATTTTTATGGACCCATAAATCCAAGCAATAGTTTTGTGTTTTCATTTATGGAAGAATTCTTTAAAGAAATCAAAGAATTATTTCCTGAAAGATATATGCATTTAGGTGGAGATGAAGTATCTTTTGAATGCTGGTATGAATAAGAAATTTGAATGTACAAAAGGGTACCTAAATATATATCACGAGAAACACGTTTTAGGAAAGCCAATAAAGATGTTAATAGTTTTATGAGGAAAATGAATATAACAGGTGATTATGCAGCTTTGGAGGGTTATTATATTCAAAGATTATTAAATATCGTTAACAAGTTAAATATTAGCCCTGTGGTATGGGAAGAAGTATTTAATAATGGCGTTAAATTGCCTACTTCGACAGTCGTTCAAGTTTGGATAGAACCATGGAAAAAAACAGTACAAGCTGTAAGTCAAATGTTTATAATACTAATGCCTTCTTTTTAACCTTGTTATATTTGATAATTTTAGGCAACAAATCGAAGTCACGGTGTACTTTTGTCGAGTTGTTGGTACTTAGATCATCTCGCCACCGGTGGAGATTGGATCAATTTTTACAAATGTGAGCCGAGTAGTTTCGCTGGAACGCCAGTTCAGAAGAAGTTGGTTATAGGGGGAGAAGCGTGTATGTGGGGAGAAGTTGTTAATAGATTTAATATAATTCCACGGATTTTTCCTCGAGTTAGCGCCGTTGCAGAAGTATTATGGTCCACCATAAAGTCAAGAGATTTAAAAACTATGCAGTCAGTTTCTGCACGATTAGAAGAACATACTTGTCGAATGAATAAAAGGGGAATCTCAGCACAACCCCCGAATGGGGCAGGGTTTTGCATATAATGTTTTTAATTTTACGTAGAGAATAAATTGTATAGATTATTTTGTAAGAGAAAAATAANAATAAAAATTCGGTTTTGTTATTATTCAAACAAAACTGAACCTGGACGTTAAGATTAATGAACGCACCTTCTATGGTATAGTTACCTAATACAACTTTACATTTTGAGGTTTAAGGTTATAAATATACAATTTGTAAATTAATTAGAAGTTGTTTAAAAATGGCACATCTAAAAGTACTGCCACAATTTCTTACCAATGTTAATAGATGGTAATCGTTATTCTCTGAACTACTACCTTATTTTAATTTGAAATGTTTAAGGTGCTGCGCAAGTTTCTCTACAAGCACTTTTAGGCAGATAACTTTTGATCCAACTGATATTAAATCAGCTCTAGCTACTCCCGAAGAAATTGCTCATAAAAAGCAACTTAAAAATACGGTGTGCGTGGAGGGACCAGTACGTATTGTTTGGAAATATATGAACACCTTTATATAAGAAATTTTTAAGGTTAATTTAAGCCCCATTTCTGGGGTGCCTGAAGAAATAGTTAAGGAGCGTCGCGTGAGGATCTTTGAACCCGCTAAAAATGCTATGCAAAGTGGAACTGACAATATTGGAAATTGGAGAATAGAGTTTGACAACCGTGAAAGATGGGAAAATCCTTTGATGGGTTGGTGTTCTAGGTAAACTAATATCTTATAATTTTTGGTATGGAATACACTCTATTGCTATGCATGCACTTGTATTTTTAGTGGGGATCCTCACTCTAATTTACATATTCAGTTCAGTACAAAAGAAGAAGCTATTACCTATTGCCAGAAAAATGGATATAAATTTTATGTCGAAAAATCACACCTTGAAAAGAAATTTAAACCAAAGTCGTATGCTGCCAATTTTTCGTGGAATAAACATACCAGAGTATCAACAAAATAAACAACTAAAACATAACTAAATAAATAATTTGTTTAGAAATATTATGTAAATAAAATATGCTAATAATAATTCAGTTTTGATCTAAAAATTTGCAATAAACTAAATGCTATATTTAATTTGTTGATAATTTCGAGTTATTGTACAAAAAATTAATTACAAAAGGTTTAATTTATGAATAATTTTGTTTTTTGAAATTAATTTCCCGATCTTCTCCCAGAAAGGGCGCGTTTGTTAAAACATTATTTTTACATGATTGACAAGTAAATAAGTGGAAGGACGTTGTATTATTTATTCATAATCATTATTTAACAATAAATAACTGCATGTTCCCAATAACAAGTCTATCTTTATATAATAGCAATTTTTGTAACTAGACATTGGAGGTATAAAAACTGCTTAAGAGTCTTGCAAAAGCACAAGTGATTTATAAGACCCAAAAAATTACATAATGTTCACGAATATCTATTCTTAAACATAAGAAAAGTGAACTATAAATAATTTAACTTCGTATCGGATAATTAGTGCATCTGGCTAAACGAAATCTACTGGTAAATATCAAACGATAAAGCTAGCAAATTTAACAAATGTTATATTATTTAATATTTTTAAAACTACTGATTGTAGCCGCGGTTTCTTTCATTCGAATAACTCATCAACTACATTTTTTGTAATTGACTTGAATGTTAGGCTGAACGCATTAATTTTGGGCTGGAAACTTACTTGAAAACTACATATGTACATTTTTCTTAAACTACAAACTGTTTTTTTTTTATGTAACTACTATTTACAGTTAGGTTTTTTCTGTACAACATGTTAGAATTAAACTTTACCGTATTTTATAAGTTGAACACCAAGCATCACTTTATGTTTTATTTGTACCAATTATAAACTATATAATATTGACTATTGTAGCTCATAGTTGCGCACTTTTTAAACTTTATTTCGAAACTTCTTGTACGTATCGTTACTGCATCAAGTACAAACAGAAAACAAAATGATGCCTGTTTCTAAAAGGAATTCTAAAACGAACTAATAGAAAAATCTAATCTATGTACAGTATCACAGAAAATATTCAGACCCCTATGCATTTCATTCTCTATCAGTTCTAAAGCAAATTTTTAAAAGGAGAATAGCTATTATTGCTTAAATTGATATGCTCTTTAACTGAACATTAAAATCAGCTCAAAATGTAATTTTTATTTCAAGTAATAATATTGAAGAAATGAAGCTGATAAACCCATGTTAATACCCCACGACATTATTCGTTGTTCTGCTTCCTTGATTTTTATGAACATTTGATTTGTACAGATAAACATTTCAATAGCGAATCAGAAATTAGATTAACATTACTTAAACGGCTTGCGAACAATTTTTTATAGTAGCTGCTTATTTTAATGAAGCATATCATGCCTATATATGGTTTTTACTTTATTGAGATTTCTTTGGCCTTTAATTTGTACGCCATGTAAGTAAATTTAAATTAATTTGTAAAAATGGGCTACCCTAAAATCTTCATAAACAAAATTAGCATCAGCTTCCTCGAGTTTCGTTGTTATCTTCATGAGATTCGTCATCTCTGTTAATCAATGATTCAGGGATAACTGTTACTGTAGTCTCCAAATCACTTTCTTCGTCTCTGTACTCCTCACTTTCACGATGAACAAGAGCTTGCACAACTGTTGTCTCACTATCTTGTCTCGTTAGAGTAGGTTTTGAGGAAGGAGACTCAGGAGACGCCTCCGTAACTAGAATACTTACATCAGGATTGCAAGGGGGGTCAGATTTTGTATGTTGTACTTTGTGTTTTTTCGGTTGAAGTTTTGTTGAACTCGCTCTATCAAGTCCTTTCCTTTGTATTAAGCTACCCCTTTTTGGTTTAATTGGTTGTTGTTGTCCATTTACTGGCTGAGGAGTGATTATTGGAAGCAAGTTAATCACGCCTTTACCAGGATCTTTTTTGGGCATGGGTGGTGACTCTTCAACCGTTTCAACAGCATCTTGATGTTTCAAAAAGAAATTGTAGATGCTCCTTCGACGTGTTGAACCAGTAGGGGTTGTTGGAGTGGTAGTTAAAGGAGTTGCTGAGTCAACTTTTATAGAAACGTCAGCAGGATCACGAGTTAGTTCGAGTTCTTCAGGAGAAATATTAACTGCACTAGAGAGCAGAAGTAATGGCAAATTCAACCAAGGTCCACCGAGTTCACTTAAGTCACTTGCATCTGATGCGCGAGAAGATTTACGTGAAGAAGCCCTACTTCCTCGATGAACGTGTAGAAAAGCTGAGAGGCGGCTCTGCCATCCACCTGGGGATGATGTCTGTGTAGTTTCGTCTTCTAATTCCCTTTCCTTTTCCTGCTTCCGTCTGGAATAATCAGTGTAATGCAATATTTGTCCTGATCTACTAATTTTTACATTCAATCTCACAAAACAAAAGTTTATTAATCGTGCTCTTTGCAACTAATAACAACATTAAGCGTTCTAAACGAAAAAGGAACTTTTTATGTTTCCTGGTATATTTGAAATTGCTTAAAGTAAAGACGAAAGCCATGTTCCAATTTCGCCGAAAGATATCAAGCAAGAAAACATGCCTCTTTATTACATAGCATGTTGTCATACCTAAGGTAATCATGCCAAGACTTTTGGATTATTCTCGCAGCCTTATCTTGTCGTTTCCAAATTCTTGTTGATGATACTATTTCAAGCTGCTTTCGTGTGGGAAATTGTTTCTTAAATTTAATGTCCATTTGTTCTTGTAACTGAAATTAGTTGCGTCAATTTTGTAAGATGTTGGAATGACAAATTTGTTGCGTGTTGTGCGAAATTCTGTTCGATTGTATCAATTTTAGACTCATTATTTCATAATACCTTTTAATGGTTTTAATTGTATGTTACACTATACTTTAAAATTAAATAACTATTGTACGTGTAAATTACTTAAAGGTTTCGAAGGAAAACTTGTTTAACAACATCCTATTTCCAATCAAGTGTGAAAATATGAGGGTCCACCACATGAAGTAAATAGCAAAATGTCACTTACCTGCCTGAAGGTATCAGTTTCTTCAACGTGTCCTAAGACATGTTTAACTAAGGAATGTAATATATCGAGGCAGTGTATCCTGTTTCCCTTTGCAATTGGTAGATTAAAGCTAACCAGTGCGACAGTATTGGGTTTTGGAATGCCCAGTGGTGGGTCGAGAGATGCTATGAAATCTGAGAGCTGAGCAAATCTTATAAATTGCGTTGCATGTGGGTCATACCTACAAAAAACCGAAAGTGTTTCACATTTACTCAATTATTAACACATTATAAAAATCTTATTATTACTTCGACCAACGAATGTAGAACATTTCCAAGTCGTCTTCGACAATACCAATTTCTTCCTCTTGATGAGCTTGGTTGAAGTTTTCTAATATAATGGCTATGTACATGTTTATTATTATCATGTAATTGATTATTATGAAACTAGTTAAATAAGTAATTGCCAGTAACGGATATCCGCAGTCACCATTGCTGAGATTGTTAAAGTGTGGATCACACTCTGGGGGTTCAATCATCAAGGATTCTAACACATCATTCCATCCGGCGGATGTCATGAGACGAAATAGTAGATGCATGGATCTTGCGAAAGTTTGAAAATTTACCATGTCGTCTAAAGCTCCTTGCTGCTTTACGTGACCAAATAAAGACATCCCAATGATGGCGTATATAAACGTTACTAATGCCAATAAGGCTCCTATGTTGAAGAGAGCTGGTAGAGACACCACCAGAGCAAAAAGAAGTTTTCTAATACCTTTAGCGGCCTAATCAATCGACGAGGAAAAATACGTTATGTTTATATTCAATGGGGACAAACGTTTCAACTTACTTTTATTAGTCGTAATATTCTCCCTATTCTAAATACCCGTACAACTCTAAGTAACGTTGGCGAAACTGGAAAATCGATCATTATATCTTCCATTAAAATGCCGAGAATTGATGCAATCACTAATAAAAAATCAAACACGTTCCAAGGGACCGTAAAATAATGGTACCTGAGTCCTAGTATCTTGACANTTTTTTTATTGTTACCCACTGTTTAGAATCAGAAAAAGGAAATTTTTAAACAATATTTTATTTTGATATTCATTTTTATCTGTTTCCTATTTATTGGGTTTCATGATCAACAACTGCCACACTTTTAGACCTAAGCTCATGTATGGAGATGTCCCACTAATAAAAAATCAAACACGTTCCAAGGGACCGTAAAATAATGGTACCTGAGTCCTAGTATCTTGACAATACATTCTAAAAAATACTTTTCTGTGTTATTTTGTAAATTGATCATCTTCGCTGGTCGTGAAAATGGTTGATATTTACTCAAACTTATTTTATTGCTTGATGCTAACATCAGAAAAACTTACCCAAACCGAAAACTGTAGTAAAAAAGGCATTGCTAACTTCTAATATAAAATAGATGGCATGGGGCTGGTTGTAATGTTCTATACCCATGGTTAACATATTGAGAAAAATGAGGATAAATATTGCTATCTCGAATCGTCTCGAATTCGATAGATCGTAAAATAAAGCTAAAAATTGATTAATTGGCCTCTTTATTACTTTCTGTGGCTTTTTTCTTCCCAACTTCTTCATCGCAGTGTAATAGTGCTTTTGACTTTCGGTCAGAAACATTTCCAGCACACCACCCTCATACTATAAAGAAAGTTGTTTTTTCTTTTATGTGGGGTGTCTCACGGCGAGCTTAGATTAGAACAGTTTTGAAAAAATGTTGAATTTTTTGTAAAATTCATTGATTCTGGATCTTGGCATTGTTACAAATTACAAATTGTTTTATTTATTGAAAACTTTAAAAGTATTTTTAAGTTTGACAGTGTATTTTTTAAGTCTTCTAAAACTATTTTCAAAAACTGCCTAATGCGAGCTCGTGGTGGGACACCCCGTATATTAATTTCAGTAACGTACCTTTTTCTTGAGCATATTGAAATTATCGATAATTACTCCTATGAAAAGATTCAAAGTAAAGAAAGAACCGCAAACAATAAATATGACGAAATAAATGTAAGCGTACAGGTTAGCCTCCCTTTGTGGCTGCAAATGCACCCCCCTGGCATCGACCGCGTCCGCCATGACTTCCATCCACCCTTCGAAAGTTGCCTGTTTTGTGAGTTGTATTACAATTATCAAATAAATAAATAAAAACAAATAATATATACTCACCACTTAAAAAAGCGCCAAATATGCCACCCCAACATGATCAAAAGACACTTTCGAATTAACCCAGGTTAAATTGTTTTCTAAACATTGCGAACGGGAATTGATTATCTAAAATATAAAAAAAAAGAAAAGGAAATTTAAAAAGACTTCAAAATCAAATTTAGCAAATATTACTTACGTCTACAGGTAAAATTTCTCCCTCGTCGTCGACGCACTTGAAAAATTTTCCTCCAAAAAATTGGACGCCCATGATGGAAAAAATCAACCAAAAAACTAAACACACCAAAAGCACATTGAATATGCTAGGAATGGCATACATCAATGCGTTTACAACGATTCTCATTCCCTGCCACCGGCTTATTGCCCTAAGTGGCCTCAAAGCCCTTAAAGTCCTCAAGGAACGAAGGACTCTTAAATTTTCATTTTCTTCTATTAACAAGCTAAACACCGAAACCTTTAACAAATAATATTTTTCACTCTTATTTAATTGTATTATCGATTAATATCTTGAGCTAATTGAGTTTATTTTACCATTAACTTGCAGAAAATTTGTTTTAAATGAACTAGTCGATATCAATTTGAACATTAGTACATACTTATAAGCAATTGTTATAATGGTGGAAACTTACGAAAACAATTAAAAAGTCCAACAGTGTCCAAAAACTCGTAAAATATTTATGGAAACCGTGAGCTAACCATTTTAGAAGCATCTCAATTACAAATATCACACAGAATGCTAAATTGGTCCAGTATAAAATCGTTTTAAGACGAGGATTATCGTTTAAATAAATGTCCTCAAAGCAGAGTGTGATACTTGAGGCGAAAATTAAAACCAAAACCACCCACTCGAACACGGGGGTGTCAACTATTGACAAAACGTACGTTCTTACTTTCATTAATTTCTTGTATGCCCTACTATCAGTGCATTTTTCACATAAAATACATCTGAAAAGAAAAGAATGACGTATATTATGAGTAATACAATTACTGAATATATTTAAAAAAATGAATGCGGTCAATGAATTAATTATTTGTAAACGTTTAGAATATAAATTTAAATCCTTTTAATAATATTATATA